GAGATTTATTGGCCCTTTTGAGATATTGAGGCGCGTCAGGGAGGTTGCTGATGAGCTTGCCTTACCTCCCAGCGTGGCAGGAGTTCATCCGGTATTTCATGTTTCGATGCTCTGGAGGTATTACGGTGATCCGTCGCACGTGTTGAATTTTAGTTCAGTCCAGTTGGACAAGGATCTATCTTATGTTGAGGAGCCACCGACAATATTGGACAGGCAGGTTCGAAAGCTGAGGTTAAAGAACATTGCATCAGTGAAGGTTCAGTGGCGGGGTCAGCCGGTCGAGGAGGCAACTTGGGAGACTGAGCAGGATATGCGCAACCGTTACCCTCATCTTTTCACTACTTCAGGTATGTCTCTATGATCGTTCGAGGACGAACGAATGTTTAAGTGTGGGAGGACGTAACGACCCGGCCGGTCGTTTTAAGAATTAACGCCCCGATCCCCTATTAATCGCATTTCCCGCATTTGTTTCTGCTATTGTGAGTGGTCGGGAATATTTATTTGGAGTTTCGGAGAGTTTTGGGACACTTAGTCCCCTAAATAAGAGTTAAATTTTAGAATTTGGACCGTAATCGGAACACAGTGTGAAGACGGCCTCGAAATGGAATTTTCCGTTGGTTCCGTTAGCTCCGATGGGTGATTTCGGGTTTAGGATCGTGTTCGGATTGTGTTTTGGAGGTCCGTAGCTTAATTAGGCTTGAAATGCTGAAAGTTGAATTTTTGAAGTTTCCGGTTCGATAGTGAGATTTCAATATCGAGGTCGGAATGGAATTCTGGAAGCTGGAGTAGCTCCGTAGGGTTGAAAGTGACGTGTGTGCAAAATTTCAAGTTATTCGGACGAGGTTTGATAGACTTTTTGATCGAAAGCGTATTTTGAGAGTTTTGAGGTTCTTAGGCTTGAATTCGGTGCTAATTGGTTGATTTGATGTTGTTTGAGGTGTTTTGAAGATTTGTATAAGTTTTCTCAGTGGTATATGACTTGTTCGTGCTTTTGGTTGAGGTCTTGGGGGCCTCGGGATGGTTTCGGATGGTTAACGGAAGAGTTAGGAATTGGTTTGGCAGCTGAAGCTTTTCCATTGCTGTCATAACCGCACCTGCGGCTAGGGGAGCGCAGGTGCGGACTCGGAGAAGTGAACATGGAGCCGCAGATGCGGCCACAAGCGAAGGCAGCAGAGATCGCAGAAGCGGAAGAGTTGCCGCACCTGCGGGACCGCATATGCGGAATCTGGGTCGCAGGTGCGGAGATAGAGATTTTAGTGAAAACCGCAGAAGCGGTTCCCTCAACCGCAGAAGCGGGTATTCGACCGCAGGTGCGGATTTACTGGGCAGAAAATCAGAATTTCGAGGGTTTAGTTTCAAAAGTTAGAAAATTGATTTGGAGCTCGGGAGAGGGCGATTTTGGGAGATTTTTGAAGAGAAAATCAGTGGGTAACAATTCCTTATCCCTTTCTAGTTGTATTTCATTAATCTATTGTTAGTTTTATCGTTTCATTTCGGATTTGAGATGAAAATTGGAAAAATTTGAAGAAAGTTCTTAGACCTAAATTTCAAGTTTTGATTAGGAATTTGACGTTGGATTTGGATAATTTTGGTATGGTTAGACTCGTGAGAGTATGAGGATTTTGAAAATGTAAATTTTACCAGATTCAGAGACGTGGGCCCGGAGGGCGTTTTGGTTATTTTAACTAATTTCGCGTATTAGCTTAGAATTTATTTGTAGAATCAGTTACTTGAAGTGTTATTTACATTATGCAATTGAATTGAATAGATTTGGGCCATTTGGAGTCGAGTACTCGTGGCAAGAACGTGGTTTCGGGTTGATTTTGAGCCGGTTCGAGGTAAGTGGCTTGTCTAACCTTGTGTGGGGGAACTCCCCCTTAGTATTGGGTTTGTTGATAATTGAAATGCCTTGTACGTGAGGTGACGAGTGCGTACTTGTGCTAATTGTTGAAAATCCTTTTTCTTTAAGTAACTATAAATGTGATTTCCTTTTTTCTGTTCATACCGTGTGTAATTTAAGCCTCTATTAGCTTAGGGAAACATGTCTAATTGTCTTAATTGCCTTATTTGCTCAAACTGCCTTATTTGGATTATGTGTGGCATGCTAGGTTAGAAATACCTGTTTTTACCTTGGTATGAAATTAGAACTGAATTGAGTATTCTTCGTGTTGCTGCTGTGTGTTTACTATGGGACTACGGGACGGTATCCCGGGAGATCCCCCTGCTTGTTTACTTTGGGACTACGGATTCGTATTCCGGGAGATCCCCTGCACCTGTATTGATTTGGACTGTAGTGCGGGATACCGAGAGATCCCCAGCACGTATATTGAGGATACTAAGAGATCCTTGGGATACCGAGAGATCCCCAGCCTATACATTGAGGATACTAAGAGATCCTCGGGATAATGAGAGATCCCCAGTACACATATTGAGGATACTAAGAGATCCTGGGGATACTGAGAGATCCCCCGGTTGTTATCTCTACGTTGAGCTGTATTTATTTCCGTAATTTCTATGTCTCTGTTAAAGTTATTGTTGTTCTTTTATCCTGTGCTATTTTTTTACTGTTGCACTTAACTATACTGTCTTATTCTACACTGTTATATCTTGTATTTCCTTTAACCTCAGTAGGGCCCTGACCTTCCTCGTCACTACCCGACCGAGGTTAGGCTTGGCACGTACTGAGTACCGCTGTGGTGTACTCATGCCCTTCCTGCGCATGTTTTTCATGTGCAGATCCAGGTACTTCCACTCAATCTTATCATGCTTGAGGCGAGGCGCTTTGTAGAGACTCCAAGGTATATCTGCCGCGTCCGCAGACCGAAGAGTCCCTTTCTATTCTCACTACTAGTATAGACCTTTCTGTATTTTCCCCTTGTTGGTAGACATTCTGGAGTTAGAGCTTATTATGAATTCTTTTAGCTTGTGATTCATGGGGTTCCGGATTTTTAGGAGTGTTAGATTGAGATTTTGTACTGTTATATGCCAGGCGGCATCTTAAACACTGTTTAACCTTGTTATCTCGGGTTTTAATTACTTTCTTCCGCAATTGTTTCTTTTTTGTCCGCATTTGTTAGGCTTACCTAGCCGTAGAGATTAGGTGCCGTCACAACAGTTCACAGAGGGCGAACTGGGGTCGTGACATACCCACAGAAATGTCAACTCCTCTTTAAAAGATCAAGAAAGTGATGTTTCTCGTATTAATTTCATTTACCACATTCAACATGGTTTAAGCAATCCAAATTAACCATAGAGTCACAAGAATTTCACATAAAGCATGCTTTTGGGTCCCAGACTACCCAGACTTAAGCATAATAGTGGCTACGCACGGACACTCGTCACCTAGTGCGTACGTAGCCCCCGCATTTAGTGAAAAATTATTCAATTATTACACCTATGAGGGAAACTCCCTCTTACAAGGTTAGATAGGAGACTCACCTCGCTCCAAAGCGTACTTCCAATATCAAGAACGTGCTCAAACCCTCAATCTGGAGCCGAACGATGCACAACTAATTAAACAAGGTAGGAACTAGTCAATACAAACTCAAGAGTTCGCATTTCAATTACTAAAGTAATTTCCCAACCTTAATCATAAGTTTCCTAAAATCCGACCCCAGGCCTACGTGCCCGGATTCCGAAATTTTTCGAAGAAAGTTGTTCTCTATAACCTAAGGATCAGTAATATATGATTTCTACTTCATTCCGTAACAAATTTCGTGGTAAAATCTAAGTTTTATCGAAACCCTAGGTTTTGCTCTAATCCCATGATTTTTCACTAATTTTTGTGCGTTAATCTACCCAAACCCAAGTATTAAACTCACATTAAGTAGAAATAACTTACCGCAAAATGCTATGTTGAAATCCCCTCTTTGAAAGCTATTAAATCGCCCAAGTGTAGAGATAAAATGAAATAAATGGCCTAAGTGCCGTTTCTAAAATCTGTGTCCAGGCCTCTGATGTCGCATTTGCGACATCAAGTTCGCAAATGCGAACTCGCAATTGCAAACTGGCCCCCCTCCGGCTTTGATCGCAAATGCGATCCTGGGGTCGCAAATGCGGACCCAGTAGGATTCGCAATTGCGATGTAATTGTCTCAAATGCGACGCTGCCCACCGCCTGCCTTCATCGCAATTGCGATGGTTTCCTCGCAAATGTGAGGTCGCAATTGCGAACAATTCCTCACATTTGCGAGACCTGCAACCTCTCACAAAAACACCAGAAAACTGGGGTGTTTTTCACTACCAACCCATGCCCGAAACTCACTCGAGCCCTCGGGGCTCCACTCCGAACACCCACACAAGTCCAGCAACCATGTACAAACTTGCTCGAGCGATCGAATTGCCGAAATAACATCCAAAACTACGAATTCAACTCCAAAACGCATGAAATCCTTAAGAACACTCAAATTCCTATTTTTACAACCGGACGTCCGAATCACGTCTAATCAGTCCCGTTTCTCACCAAACTTCACAGACAAGACTTAAATATTATATTGCACCTGTACCGAGCTCCAGAACCAACATACGGGCTCTGTACCATCATGATCAAACATTATTAAATTCTTTAAATCCTTGGAAATTTCAGTTTAACAATTTTTAACAAAAATTCATTACTCGGGCTAGGGACCTCGGGATTCGATTCCGGGCATACCCCCAGATCCCATATTTTCCTACGGACCCTCCGGGACCATCAAAATGCCAGTCCGGGTCCGTTTACTAAAAATGTTGACCAAAGTAAAACTTAGCCTTTTTAAGAAATCTTAGGGAATCAAGTGTGCCTATTTCAACCCAAACTCTTCCAAATCCCGAACCAACCATCCCCGCAGGTCGTAAATTAGTCAAAGCAAGCACGGGAAGTCTTATTTAGGGGAACGGGGTTCTAAAAAGTGAAACGATCTGTCGGGTCGTTACAGTTACAAAGGATGCAAATAACTAGATTTTCCCTACAGCATTTGGGGTAGCGGATTCAAAGAATAACGAATCATATGAATGGTATTTCAGACAATTAAGGAAGGCAATTCGGAGTCGTAAAGATTTAATGTTTTTGTCAGATCGACACAAGTCCATTGCAAATGGAATTGCAAAAGTTATCCCTGAGTGCTACCATGGTATTTGCATATATCATTTAGAAAAGAATCTAATGCAAAGAAGAGTGAGAAACAATATAATAAACCTGTTTCAAAGTGCTGCAAGAGTATTCCTTCAATCAGAATTTGATGACTTTATGTCCCAAATAGCTGTTGTTGATAAGAAAACATTCAACTATTTGATGAAGGAACCACCAGGAAGATGGGCTCATTCACATTGTCCAAGACGACGATATGATATGTTAACAACAGATATTGTTGAGTCAATGAATAATATTTTGAGATGTGCAAGACAATTGCCGCTTTTAACAATGATGGATTTCATACAAGAAAAATTGCAAAGCTGGTTCTATGAAAGAAGGACAACTGCAGAAGGAATATTCGGTGAGTTATCAAATTGGGCAGAAGCAACATTGGAAGAAAAAATTAAATCAGCTTTTACATTTAGAGTATTGCCCATTGATCGACTCAAATTCAATGTCAAAGAAGGGGGTATGGAATTTATTGTTGATCTAGACAAAAGAACATGTGATTGTTCTGAATTTCAGCTAGATGCGATACCCTGTGAACTTGCAATTGCTGCAATTGAAAGTATATATCAAAAGAAATCGGCCTTTTGCTCGGTATATAAAGGACTTTTGGTTGAAAACATATGAAGGGCAAGTAAATTCTGTAGGTGATTCAACAACACGGGTTATACCCAATACTATTAAATCAGAAATCACTAAGCCTCCAGATGTAAAAGTAATGCTAGGAAGAAGACAGAAGAATCGACATGTTTCCGGTACAGAATTCAAGAAGGAACCAAGATGTGGTCGTTGCAAAAGATATGGGCATAACAGAACAAATTGCACAAATTCCGCAGTAGTTCATCCTTATGCAAGAAAATACAGGAAAAAGAATGATTGGTTATATACAATAAGGTTGCATAGGCTCATGTGAAAAATTGATTGTAATCCCGAATAATTTGTTCGGTATTCTTGTTTTTCAAAATATTATTACTGTCTATTTTTTTTGTTTCTTGATTTGCTACAGTTGTATTAAAAAAAATCTGGATTGTACACATTCAGTTCAAAATACGGGAGATTATACTTTCAAGTGATATATCTCCAACATAATATGCAGGAAACAAAACTTTAAATTATTTAATTCGAGCAAATTGTACTAGATCTCCATTATAATATACTGGCCTAAATAGCTTCATAAGTAGCATTTCCAGCATAATTTACAGGAAGCAACCAAAATAAGAACTCCAACTAATTATATTAGAGTTGCATCAGCAAAAATTATGAAACCTAACATATTATATATAAGAACATATCAAAAAAATTATAATCTCCAATCCTTATAACTTTAATTCAATAAATAAATTGCTAAAATTTATGATAAAAAATCTGGATTGTCCAAATCCAGTATAGAATACTGGACATTATTCTTTCGCATGATATATCTCCAGCATACTGTTGAGGAAACAAAATTTTAAATTAAATTCCAGCAAATTGTTCTAGATAAAAATTTTCCACTGTTTTACACTTCTCCATTATTATATACTGGCTTATATCGCTTCATAAGTAGCATTTCCAGCATAATTTATCGGGAGAAACCAAAATAAGAACTCCAACAAGAGTTGCATCAGCAAAAATTATTAAATCTAACATATTATACTTAAAAACACGCCATAAAAAATATAATCTCCTATCCTTACAACTTTATTTTAATTAATAAATCGGTCAAATTTAGGGTAAAAAAATTTGGATTGTTTATATCCATTATAAAATATTGGACATTATGGTTTCACAATATATACCTCTAGCATAATATACAGGAAATAAAATTTTAAATTATTTAATTCCAGTAAATTATTCTAGATACCAATTTTCTACTATTTTACACTTTTCTCCATTATAATATATTGGCTTATATCGCTTCTAGTACTATATGCGGGATAATTTGTTTTTTTCACATATATAACCGTAAAAGTTTAGTCTATTCAGTTATTTCTTGAATTTCAAGTGGAATTATTATAAAAAGTAAGGCAGAAAAAGATTTGAACAAAAACATATTATATTAATAGAAAATAAAACTACATAGCCATCTTCCAGATACTTCCACAAAACATAGCCTACTTCCAGATACTTCCAGTATAATCTACTGGAGTTTAAAGGTTTATACACCAAAAAAGGACATAAAATAAAACACTAATCATCCATATCGTCACTGTCGAAGGAACTATCTCCTCTAGAACCACCAGAAAAGCCATCTCGGGCTATCCTCTCCAGCCTATCCATCTTGTCCTTGATTCTTCTTAAATCCCTTTCATATTTCTCTATGAACTCTTCAAACTTCATCTCAAATGCTTCTATAATATCTTGTTTCATTTCATCAATTATGGTTCTGGTCACGGCATCCATTTTTCGTTATTTTTTCTGTTTTGTGTATTAAAACTAGATGCGTTTGAGTGTATAAATCGACAATCCATAGCCTACTAATATAACAGAAAAAACTTCTACAGTGTATATGAAAAGACAGAAGACAAATTGAACGTCAGGGGTAAGCCTTTCCTGAATCAACTTTACCTTTTCCAAGGCATCTCTCACCAAATCTGTACCGTACAACTTAGCCTCACCGGGCTCAAACAACCCGATAGGAGTACGACATCGTCGACCATATAGAGCCTCAAATGGAGCCATCTCTATGCTGGACTGATAGCTGTTGTTGTAAGCAAACTCTGCCAAGGGTTAGAACTGATCCCACTGTCCTCCAAAGTCAATCACACATGCTCTGAGCATGTCCTCTAAAATCTGAACTGTCCGCTCTGACTGCCCGTCGGTCTGAAGATGGAATGCTGTGCTAAGCTCCACGCGGGTCCCCAACTCACTCTGAACGGCTCTCCAGAAATGGGAAGTAAACTAGGGCCTCTATCTGATATGATGGAAACAAGCACACCGTGCAACCGGACTATCTCCCGAATGTAAATCTGAGTCAACCTCTCTGAAGTATACGTAGTCACAATCGGAATAAAGTGTGTTGACTTGGTCAACCTGTCAACAATGACCCACACTGCATCAAACTTCCGCAATGTCCGCGTCAACCCAACTACGAAGTCTATAGTAATGCACTCCCACTTCCATTCAGGGATAGGCATCTGCTGAAGTAGGCCACCTGGACTCTGGTGTTCATACTTAACCTGCTGGCAATTCAAGCATCTAGCCACATACTCAACTATGTCTTTCTTCATCCTCCGCCACCAATAATGCTGCCTCAAGTCACGATACATCTTCGTAGCACCTGGGTGAATAGAATACCGCAAACTATTTACCTCTGCTAGAATCCTCTCCCTCAAGCCATCAACATTAGGAACACATAGGTGACCCTTGAGTCGCAAGACACCATCCTCGCCAATAGAAATCTCCTTGGAACTACCCCGTAGCACTGTTTCTCTAAGAACTGCCAGATGCGGATCATCAAACTGCCGGGCCTTGATCTCCCCCAATAATGAAGACTGAGCAACAACACACGGGAGGACTCGGCTGGGCTCTGAAATATCCAACCTCACATGTATGTTATCCAAGGACTGAATGTCCAAGGCTAGTGGCCTCTCCTCTGCTGAAATGAATGCCAAGCTACCCATACTCTCCGCTTTCCTGCTTAAGGCATCCGCGACCACATTTGCCTTGCCCGGATGATAAAGAATGGTGATGTCATAATACTTCAGTAACTCAAGCCATTTACGCTGCCTCAAATTGAGATCCCTCTACTTGAACAAATGCTGTAAGCTGCGATGATCAGTGTAAACCTCACATGACGCCCCATACAGATAATGCCTCCGTATCTTAAGAGCATGAACAATCACCGCCAACTCTAGATCGTGCACAGGATAATTCTTCTCATGAATCTTCAACTGGTGTGAAGCATAGCAATAACTTGCCCCTCCTGCATCAATACACAACCCAAACCAACGCGTGAAGCGTCACAATATACCGTATACATCCCTGAACCGGAAGGCAACACAAGAACTGGTGCTGTAGTCAAAGCTGTCTTGAGCTTCTGAAAGCTCGCCTCACAATCATCAGACCAACGGAAAGAAGCACCCTTCTGGGTCAATCTGGTCAGAGGTGATGCAATAGATGAAAAGCCCTGCACGAATCGCCGGTAGTAACCTGCTAACCCCAGGAAACTCCTGATCTCGTTCACTGAAGTAGGACGTGGCCAACTCTGAATTGCCTCAATCTTCTTAGTATCCACCTTAATACCCTCTCCCGACACAATATGCCCCAAGAATGCCAACTCTAGCCAAAACTCACACTTGGAGAACTTAACATATAGCTTCTGCTCCCGCAAGGTCTGAAGCACTACCCTCAAATGCTACTCGTGCTCCCCCAAGCTACGGGAGTATATCAAGATGTAGTCAATGAAGACGATGACAAAGGAATCAATATGAGGTCTGATTTCCCAGTTCATCAAGTCCATAAATGCCACTGGGGCATTAGTCAGGCCAAAGGACATCACCAGAAACTCATAAGGACCATATCTAGTATGGAAGGCAGTCTTCGGAACATCCGAGTCCCGAATCCTCAACTGATGATACCCCGATCTCAAGCTATCTTAGAGAACACCCTAGCACCCTACAACTGATCAAAAAAATCATCAATGCGCGACAACGGGTACTTGTTCTTGATGGTAACCTTGTTCAACTGGCGATAATCAATGCACATCCGCATGGTCCCATCCTTCTTCTTTACAAACAACACTGGTGCACCCTAAGGTGACACACTCGGTCTAATATACCCCTTTGCTAACAACTCCTCAAGCTGCTCCTTCAACTCTTTTAACTCTTTCGGAGCCATACGGTACGGTGGGATAGATATAGGCTGGGTGCCTGGAGCCAAATCAATGCAGAAATCAATATCACGATCCGGTGGCATGCCAGGAAGGTCAGAAGGAAACACGTCGGTAAACTCCCAGACTACTGGAACCGAATCAATCATCGGAGACTCTGCGGTGGTGTCCCGAACATAAGCCAGATAAGCCAAACACCCCTTCTCGACCATATGCCAAGCCTTCAGGAAAGAGATAACCCGACTAGATGTATCAGCCGTGGAACCCTTCCACTCCAATCCTAGCAACCCTGGCATTGCTAATGTAACAGTCTTGGCATGGCAATCGAGGACGGCGTGGTACGGGGATAACCAATTCATGCCCAGGATGCCTTAAAGTCGATCATATCAAGCAACATGAGATCTGCTCTAGTCTCGAAACCATAGATATGACCATACAGGACCGGTAGATCCGATCCACAACCACAGAGTCGCCCACAGGAGTGGACACATGAACAAGAGTGCCCAAAGGCTTAGGAACAATAACCAGAAAACGAGCAAATAGAGATGATACATATGAATAGGTGGACCCTGGATCAAATAATACCGAAGCACCTCTACCGCAGATGGAAATAATACCTGTGATAACGACATCTGAGGCCAATGCATCTGGTCTGGCCGGAAGGGCATAGAATCTGGCTGGAGCACCGGCTGGCTGACCTCCACCTGACTGAGTAGTAGCTGCCTAACCTCTCCCTATCTGGCCTCCATCTCTAGGTCGGCCTATACCACTCTGTCCCCCGCCTCAACGCGGCTGTGCAACCGATGCTGAAATCATAGGCTGCTGATCCTGCTGTACTGCCTTGCCCCGAAGCCTGGGGCAGGTCCTCTTCATGTGACCTGGACCTCCACACTCGTAGCAACCTCTCGGCACCACAACCCGCTGTTCGGAAGCCTGGCCCTGATGGCCTGAATACCCACCGGAGGAACTCGGAATGGCTGGAGGACGGTATGAACTCTCTGGCGTAGTACTGGAATAGGAACCAAAAGAACCCTGAGGACCTGAATACCCACTGGAAGAACCCCGAATAGCTGGCGGGCGATAAGAACTCTCTGTCATGACGC